ACACAAATACATCATTGGAATTTTTGGAGTATAGCATCTTGAAAACCTTCATACCAGTATACATGAATGTTTTAAACGTGCGTACATAATAAAGTACATCGGTTACGATACATTAAAGATATAAGCTAATTTGTGAACAGCAATTTTTGTTTCAAATCAAACTGATTGACTGTTTCTGACAACTGAATGTACAAAAGTACCTCTTAAGTCATGAATACAGTACAACCTCACTATCCTGAACAATTGGGTGTATGGAACATGCCCCTTGGCTCCCAAAGTTTCTAGGCACTTTTTCTGAACATTGCAAACTTCTTTTAAAATTAAAGACACAAATTTAGGCCTGATGATAACGACATCAAAGCTAAGATATCAACACTGAAAAGTCAGAAATCAGAACTACCATTTTACAACACGGCATATAGCGCTCTCTTTTTCTGCAAATGGCACCTCCTTTTTGGCAAATAGCGCCCTCTTGCAAGGAATTTTTTTCTCCCTTTTTTTAAAAGAAATTTTCCCTTTTTTTACAGAAATGGAAACGGCTTAATTTTTAGGCCTTTGAAATTTCACCCAATTAAATCAGAACAGTTGGGGAGGTATGCTACACCAAGCATTGTGTATGGACCCTACCCTGTTCATTGTAGCAGCATTGTACTGTATACCGATATACACTACTCAAAAATATTAAAGGATCAGACATTTGTCTTTGAAAATCTCGGCCAGTTGTCTACTTTGACAAAGTGACAGATAATGCATCATGTGTTTCATAGTCCAATGAGCCCTGAGCTTGGCCAAGAGAGGGCGCAATTTTCTCAGCAACAGAGTCTCCTTTGGTCAGAAATGAACTGCACCGGTTCACAAACAACTATTTTGTGTCTATTTTTATGAATAATTATTAAAAAAAATGTAACTTGGGGAAGATTTACAAACAGATGTAGGCATTATTTTTCTGAAATAAAAAGGTCATAATTTTTTTACACTCAGGTACATGTACATGTATGTATCATATCTTCAAACTGTTTCATTTCTCTGCTGTAATAATTTCAGAATAAAAAGTAGCGCCCTCGCATTAACAGGACATCATTTTACCTTGTAAATAGCGCCCTCACATTAACAACATATCATTCTAACAACTCATCTTCTCCCAAAACCCCACTTTCCTTATTTTTAGGGCTGTGTAGGAGACCTTGACAAGGTGCTGATCGAAGTGTTTTTCAATTTCATGGGACTTCAGTACTCTGCAGAGAAGGTTTGCATTAGACTGGAACCAATAAGTTTTACTTGTTTTGTAGCTAGAACATAACCACATTAAATGACACTCATATTTCTTAGGATGTGAATCCTTTTTTTATATTCTGATCCTTTGATCCTTTTGAGTAGTGTACAAATGCAGAGAGACTTGCTCCATCACATGTTAAGGTGGAAGCAAGGAACTGCATCTCTGAGAAGATTGACTCCTTTCCTTGCCTTTGAATCAATGCCTACGATTCTGACGAGGATCCCTCAGGCAGTCTTAGAAACTGTTCCTCCTCAGTGATGGAGGCGAGGACTGGCATCTATCTGAGTTTCTTCCTCTGTTTGACATTCTTGTAAATCATGCCTGGGAAGTCCTTTAGGACGTTGTCTTTCATCTTGCTTCTCTCCTTGTTGAAGGAGGCGAGGGCGCTCTTCTCATCAGCACTGTCTGGTTCTCCTTATGCACAGCTTCCACATCAACAATGTCTGGGAAGAAATTAAACACAGAAGAATGAGCTGCCGTAGAAACTGAGACAATTTTGAGAAAAATGCAAGGATCCTTGTATGGTCCTCAATTTGCCACTTTATTTCATACAAAACAGTCCCTGTTGTAATTGTATCTCACACAAAGTCCCTCCAAGTCTCTCGTTCTTTTCAACTATTTTCAAGTCAGAGAATGAAGTACCCGGTATGATGAAAGGACTTGGATCTCTTACTCATGACAGGACTTCTGATGGACTGAACTAACACTGCACATTGCACATCATTTGAGATTTATCTTCTGAAGACACCTATTTGACAACCATTTTGGGTGAAGTGAATTAAAAAGTGACATCATGCCTTTCTGGACAACTGAGGGCGCTTCACTGTAATGCCAGTCTAAAGGCATTTTATGGAAATGGGGAGGATGCTTATTTCATGTGTATTTATTTTAAAATTGTGAAACCTAAATGTGCTCCTTGAACAAGTCGCAGGAAATGCTGACCATTGGTGATTGGTAATTTTCCATGACACAGCAATGAATCACCAAGGAAAAGGAAATTTAGGCCAAAAAAAATGAAAACAATTCCAGCATAGTGGGTGCATTCACTAAGCTTGCCCTGGTTACAAGGGTTTAACCTCATCCCCACCATCTTGCTTGTTTGGTACAGTACAAACGACCATCCCTAGGTCGGGGCTGCCCTCTGTTAGCTAACCAAAAGCACCCAAAAGCCAAGGGTGGATCCAGAACCAAAATTCTGGAGTGGGAAGTGGACTTGTTTTGCTTTGAATATTTGGAGGGGGGTTGGCAACTGTTGGGGATTTTTATCCACTGTTCAAAAGGGACTTTCATCATCTTCCAAAAGAAGAGGTTGGCTGCCTGGGGGGGCCTTCACTTCCCCCTTCCTTTCCTAGATACATCCTTGCAAGCATATGCAACACATGAGACTCTTACCTGCATGGTAACCTGCCTCTTCAACTTTGGAGATTTCATCGTTGGTTGGTCCACTCACATCACGATGTGGGGAATACATTAGCCAGTCTTAACATAGGCAGCCATGGCAGTAAATTCACTTGGCAATCAAGCCTTCCAAAATCTAAACACAGGGAATGACCAAAAGATGCGAGAAAAGGTACAGTTAGGTTTTTCAATCACAAACTAAAACGTTTGAGCAAAAGGACAGCCTGTACATCTGTCATTCTTTTGGTATCACATCAAAAATGGAATATCAAACAGTAACCCTTCCATGATTTTTATTTACGTGACCTCCACGTCTTTTCCACAACTTTTCCTCAGACAACCAAGACAACCAAGACTCATCTTCTCCCATTTTGAATGCATTTTCAGTGACTTTTCAGGGTGAGTTTTTGAGGATTTTCTATGACCATGGGAACCCGGCACAAAGGAAAAGTACCCAAATCATGTTTGTTACGATTATAATCTAAAAGAAAAGAATTCAAAGATGACTTACTTTGTAAAAACAATTGATGCCAGAAGATAAGCCCACAGGCAGGGGACCAACCACGCTGCTATCACCTTACTCTATCAGGACAGCGATGCCAGAAGATGAGCTCACAAGCAGGGGACCAACCANGGCAAATAGCGCCCTCTTGCAAGGAATTTTGTTCTCCTTTTTTTACAGAAATGGGAACAGTTTAATTTTTAAGCCTATGAAATATCACCCAATGAAATCAGAACAGTTGGGGAGGTATGCTACACCAAGCACTGTGTGTGGACCCTACCCTGTTCATTATAGCAGCATTGTACTGTATACCAATATACACTACTCAAAAATATTAAAGGATCAGACATTTGTCTGAAAATCTCAGCCAGATGTCTACTTTGATACAGTGAAAGATAATGCATCATGTCTTTCATAGTCCAATGAGCCCTGAGCTTGACCAAGAGAGGGCGCAATTTTCTAAACAACAGAGTCTCCTTTGGTCAGAAATGAACTGCGCTGGTTCACAAACAACTAGGAAATGTATCAGTCTATTTTTATGGATAATTATAAAAATATGTGATTTGGGGAAGATTTACAAACAGATGTATGCATTATTTTCCGAAACAAAAAAGGTCTTATAATTTTTTCACACTGAGATACATGTATGTATCGTATCTTCAAACTGCTTCATTTCTCTGCTGTAATAATTTCAGCATAAAAAGTAGCGCCCTCACATTAACAGGACATCATTCTAACTTATAAACAGCGCCCTCACATTAACAAGATATTAGTCCAACAACTCAATGCTCCCAAAACTCCACTTTCATCATTTTTAGGGCTGTGTAGGTGACCTTGACAAGGTGCTGACCTAAAGGGTTTTTCAATTTCATGGGACTTCAGTACTCTGCAGAGAAAGTTTACATTGGACTGGAACCAATAAGTTTTTCTTGTTTTGTAGCCAGAACATAACCACATTAAATGACACTCATATTTCTAAAGATGTGAATCCTTTTTTTAAATTCTGATCCTTTGATCCTTTTGAGTAGTGTACAAATGCAGATAGACTTGCTCCATCAAGTGTTAAGGTGGAAGCAAGGAACTGCATCTCTGAGAAGATTGAATCCTTTCCTTGCCTTTGTGAATCAATGATTGTGGTTCTGACGAGGATCCCTCATGCAATCTTAGAAACTGTTCCTCCTCAGTGATGGAGGCGAAGACTGGCATCCATCTGAGTTACTTCCTTTCCTAGATGTTCTCATGAATCATCTCTGGGAAGTCCCAGAGGATCTTGTCCTCCATCTTGCTTCTCTCCTTGTTGAAGGAGACGAGGGCGCTCTTCTTATTGGCATTGCAGATCTGGTTATTGTATGCACAGCTTCCATGTCGACAATGTCTGGGATGAAATTAATCACAGAAGAATGAATTACAGCAAAATATAATACCCACACCGACAAAAAGTAAAGGATCCTTGTCCAGTCCTTAATTTTACACCTTTTTTCATACAAAACTGTCTGCGTTGTAATTTGAATTGACACTAAGGCTGAGTCGGGACGGCTTATTGCCCACGTGTACTACGAAAAAAGACTATTACTCGTGATAGGAGTTCTGATGGACTAAACTAACACTGCANCATCGTAAACTTGAAAACCTCAACATTCCTTTTGAGTGAAGTGAATTGAAAAAGTGACATCACGCCTTTCTAGACAACTGAGGGCACTGTAATATCAATCTTTTGGCAATTTACATGTATGCCTATGGGAAAGAAGCTTCTTTCTATGACCTTGTTTTATCAAAACTCTGAAACCCAAATTTAACACTTGAACATGTCTCAGGAAATTTTGACCAATGATCTTTGGTAATTTGCAATGAAACAGCAAGGAAAAGGAAATTTCGGCCAGGAAATGAGAACACTTCAAGTACAGTTGGTGCATTCAACTAGCTTGCTCTGGTGACAAGGGTTTCATCTTGTCCCTTCGCTCGTCACCCAGCACCCAAGCAGGCCGCTGAGAAGGGCTTGCACTGCACAGATTTTGTAATGAAAGAAATAAGTCACACGAGATCATAGCTAACGAGCATTTTGGGTAAATTTCTTTCAGCATGTCCAGGTGTGAGAGCTCGCTCAATAAGTTGAACACAAGCAACGGTTATCAATTCAATATTTTTTCCTTTTTCTTCCTCATTGCTGAAAATATTTTCACCAATTTTACACTTTATTCGTTCATCCGAAATTGATCAAGATAACCAACGATTTGAAAAATACCGGTACTGCCAAAAGAAACGTGATCAGTGATACTTCAATACCACACCTTCTTTTTTCATATAGCCAACACTCTGGCCTGAACGCCAAAATTCAAATAATGCTTAACAATAACTGGAAGTGATAACCTTGCAGTCAAAGGTCATGCATAATGTAGCCAATCACAGTGCAAAGCCATCAGCCTTTCCCAGTGCCCTGTTTGGGTGCTAGTGATGAGTGAATCTCATCCTCGCCATATTGCTTGACACAGCATACACAGCCAACCCAAGGTCAGGGTTGTCCCGTGTGAGCTAACCAAAAGAACTCGTCGTTTTTTGCTCACCAAAAGCCAAGGGTGGATCCAGGTCCAAATTCATAAGTGGGGAGTGGATTTTTTTTTAAGGATTTGGCTTTTTATACACAGTTCTCGAGGGAAATTCATTACCTTTCAAAAAAGAATAAAAGAAAAGAGATGGGTCCCATTCCTCCCAAGCTTCCTTTCCAAGATAAACCCTTGAAAGCATGTGCAACACATGAGACTCTTACCTGCATGGTAACCTGCCTCTTCAACTTTGGAGATCTTTCTTGGTTAGTCCATTCACACCACGACACAGGATACGTTAGCCAGTCTCAATGTAGGCAGCTATTTCAGTACAATTTCATCTAGCAACAAGGTAATCCCAAACCTAAATGCAGAGAAAGCGACAAAAATAAGAAAACATTGTCTTAGGTTTTTCAGTCACACTTTAATTAAAGATTTTTTTTCAAAATGAGCAAAGTATCCAAGGTTCAACCCATCAGCATCTGTGCTCTGATGACTGCCATAACCACAACTATCAGACTATGGACTGAAAAGGATGGCCTGTAAATTTATTATTATTCCGTGTACCACATTAAAGTAGCCCATCAAAAATAACCCTTGAATGATCTTGATTTCTATGACTTTTCCAGAACTTTACTCAGCGATGAGATTATCAGAAAATGAAAAAAGATGAACTTTGCGAGCACACAGCTCAAAGTGCTTTACGACATTGGGTCAGGGCTCCAGGAAAAATGTCAACGTTAGATACTCTGTGGTACAATTTAAACCCTTCTGGGACACATTTTATTTAGAATAGAAACATTTGTGAAATTGTTTATTATTTTTTTTTCACTTGCATACCTGTATGTGACCCGTCAGGGCAAAATGAGAGTAAAGTCGCATCTCGCTCTTTCCTATTTTGAGGGTTCAAAGTCATATTGAAGTGGAGATCAATTTTGGGGTTTTGTAATATTTGGAAAGAGTAACCCATCTCCTATTTAATTCCAAATATTTAGCAGAATCACATATTTAAAAATGTCACTTTCTCAGCAATTTTGACGCTAGTGTTATTTGTGCTAGGTCTGAAATGTTAAAACAATGTTGAGAAGAAGACGCGAAGCTGCCACAATAATGCCACATTGTCACCTTTACCCTTAGTGTTCCATGTACTTATCAATGGAAAGCTCTCTTTCTGCTGAACTCAAAAATAACAATATCTCTGTTTTTGAAAATTCTGACTTTCAGCTCATTCTGTGGTGACAGGTCACAAATGCGTTATAAAGACCCTCCACAAGTTGGAATGATTCTGCATGTGCTGCTAACATGGTTGAAGTGTTTTTGCCCTGGGAGGCGTAATTAATTTCTACATCGCACCACCTCCTTACCAGATTTTGCAAATTTCTGAATAAATTTGGACAAGAACACTCCTCCTATTTTGGCCTCAACCCACTCCCATCGCCAGGAATTTTTAATCCCTTTGTCAATGTGCTTCACCTTTCCTTCTCAATGAATGATATCTTTACGGGCAGACATGATGATGGAAATGTAATGATAAGAAACGTCCGTTCAACAACACACACATGACGGTACAGTTTTCTGTGATTACACACAGAAAGGATTCAGGGTACCCGGTGCATTGGCTTCGCGTGGCAGTCTATACACTCGTGCATGTGGTGAGGAGCATGAGAAGTGCACAATCATTGGTTTATATGAGGATGCGTCATGAAAATAAGCCTAGCAGAGTGATTGTGACACCGACAGTTACACATGTACATATGCAAGTGAAAATACATGTATTTCCTACAGAAATGGTCACTCGTCGGCACTCGTTTTTGTCTGCAAAAAGACCCAATGGAATGTGTTGCTTTATCTTATCTCCAAATTCTAGCCTGGTTTCGGATCTGTGTGAGAACATTGACCGTGCATGCCTATCTGTACATGAGCGTAAGGCATACATGGCATGACGCAAGGCGCTTCGTGGTAGATAATTTTGATGCATTTAGGATGAAATAAAAATGACATGACAATGTCATGACATTTTTAGGTTAATGCTGCTTTTGATACACTGGCATAGATACCAGCGTTTATACAGATCAGAGCTTCCTAGAAAGTTTGTGTGAAATTTGCTTCATTTTCAGGGTAAAATACTTAACTACATTGTAGGAAGTTGTCACGGGTCCCATGCAAGGTCACAAAGGTGGGTGGGTAACGCTTGTCAACACGTACATTGTAACTCGCCCGCGGGCCCATTAGGCTGGTGTCTCCCTGAGAGCGGTAGTTTTAAATCTCCGTGTCTGGAGCCAGGCAACGCAAGGGCTTGTCAGTGTATATTGTGGTTCTTGTTTCTAATTCACTAAATAATCTAATGTATATCGGTGACTTCAGAGACAGCGGTAATATTGTGATTACCAATATTCACAACAGTTCTAGGAATTTTGCTCACCGACATATGCGATCCAATGATAAGCAGATCTGTCTTATCATCATTTACATGTGTAGCTTCAAAAAATTAATTGCCATCCAACATCTGATGTTGTCAGAGCATTTTTCCAAAACTGACACTTGTTGCTGTATGTTACTGGCAGTTGGCTGAGCTGACAAATACAACTGAGTGTCACTGCATAAAAATGACAACTCAGTCCATGATGCCTAATAACATCCCCAAATGGCAACATATACACACTGAATAAAAGTGGTCCGAGTACAGGGCCCTGGGGGACACCATACTTAAGTGTATGTGTCACTCATGGTTCCGACATCCAATCCACTACGACCATCGGGCGATAAAGACCGAATCTGAACTCTTTGCAAACGGTCTCTAAGGTAAGAAGAAAACCAATCGAAGGTATTTTGTGAGACTCCAACGTGTCCTTAATCAATGAAGCAAAATGTCATGATCAAACGTATCAAAAGCAGCGCTTAAATCAAGTAATACCAGAATGGAGACTTTGCCCTTATCCGTATTTTTCCAAATATCATTTTGAATGCGGGCAAGAGCCGTTTCCGTCCCATGGAGGCGCTTATATGCCGATTGAAAAGGTTCAAGTAACATAAACCTGGTCATATGATTATAAAGTAAGTTGTTGCGCAACCACCTTTTCAAGAACCTTGGAGACAAATGGTAAATTGGCAACTGGCTGATAATTCTTAAGCAGCTCGGCTTGATCAGCCTTGAGGTTTCGAGATTTTGGAATGGGAGTAACTGTAGACATCTTAAAATCATTTGGAAAAACTGCAAGGTTAATAGAAGAATTAACAAGAGATGTGATTATTGGGCAGATTTCAGGCAGACAGCATTTTAAAAGTGCAGTCGGTATCGGGTCAGCAACACAAGTTTTTTTAGGACACTTGCGTATGATTTGCTGGATCTGTGCACAAGTGGTGGATCCTAAATTAAGCTTACATCCTTCAGGAAGAATTGGGTCTTGAATATCAAAATCTCCTTGACCCACACTACTCATACGTCGTAAATTGCTGATCTTATCTTGAAAGAAATTTGCGAATCAATTTGCCAACTCGACTTCATACTTGAGTAGGAAATGTAGGAACTGACTTACAGCATAACAAATTATCAATCACACAAAAAATCTGATGACAATCACCCCTGCTCTCCTGGATTAAGTTTTGATAGTAATGCACTTTCACATCCTTGATCATCTTCACAACATGATTACACTGCATTTCCCAGTCAACAGTGAGTCGAGTACATCGCCAGTGACGCTCCAGTTTTTTATGCTTAATTTTCTCCTTACTAATGGTCTCAGTAAACCATGGTGTATTCGACCGTATAGTAAGAACCTTTGATTGAACAGGAGATATGCTTGTCAAGAATCAACCTTAATTCCAAATTGTAATAGGCTGTGAATACGTTGGGGTCGGGTAATGAAGTTTCGTCCAAATACTTTAAAAGTGAAGAACAAAGACAAAAGTGTTCACAGTCTATGTTGTTGTTGTAGAATTAATGGCATGTACAGCATACGCTGGTGCCCTTTATGCCATTAGCAAAAGGTCGCTTGGCCATGTGGTAGTACGGCTAGAAATTCAAATAGCTAAAGACACTTGATCAGACGGTAAGGA